CTTATTTTGTGATTGTGGCAATCAGACCACGTGAAATACCCTGCATGATCAAAAATAACTTCCACAGTAAGACAGTCACCTGGCAAACATTCACTGCGATGGTTAGACAGTACCAAGGCTATACCAAAGCAAACTCAAACCCACTGAAGGGGTTTCAATTCAGGGCGCCAGGTTTCAGGCCCTTCGGTCTCACGGGAGGCGGCCCATCTCCCCCCTATGGGTACAAAAGCTCACTGAGCTTTGGGCCAGCTAGCAGCCCCACAGACACACCGGGGCAACCTGTAGAGTGCAGGGCACCTCTGACGGTAAAGACAATTGGGTATCCCAGTCACCTGTGGTGTTGGTTCAAACCCACCCCCTGGTTCCTCAGGAGAGAAGGACGGGCCATCTGCTCTGGAGAGAACACCTGTGCAGTCCTGCTGTACCAGATGCTGGGTTCATGCTGAGAGTAGGCACCGACCCAACAAGCAACAACAGACATCACAGGCCAACAAGCAAGGCTGTACTCAGTGGGCTTACTAACAGTATTGTTATCCTGGGATGACTCCTGGAGGTTAAAGTGGGCAGTATGTGATCAGTTACAGGACCCAAAGTTTCTATTAGTTGTGATCTGTTGAGAAGTTGACTACTATGCACCTATGAACCGAGATCTGAACCATGCCCTGTCCTGTGTCAGTACCATGTTCAACCCACTGCTGCAGTCCACGTCAATTCATCTTGTTCAAGGTCTTCCTCTCTTTGATGACCCCTCTACCTTTCCCAGCATGATGTATTTTTCCAAAGTCTGGTCCTTCCTGACAACCTGCCCAAAACATGTGAGATGAAGTTTCACCATCCTTGCCTCTCAGGAGCACCCTGGTTGTACTTCCTCTACAACACAGTTCTTCTGGCAGTCCATAGGATAGTCAATTCTCTTCAACACCATAGAGGCACTCTTTTTTCAGTCTTCTTTAGTCACTGTTCATCTTTCAGAAGTATATGAAGCAACTGGAAATACTATGGCTTGGATCACAAACACCTTAGTCTTTAAAATAACATCCCTGCTCCTTAGCACTTCGGAATGGTCTCTGACAATTGATTTCCCAATGCAACGTCCTGATTTCTTGACTGCTGCTCTCATGGGTACTGTCTATGTAAGTGAAATGAAATCACTGACAACTTCAATCTTTTTGCATTTTAGCAAAATGTTGCCTGTTATTCCAGTGGTGAGAATTTTTTTTTTTAAAGAAAAAATTTTTGTAAGAATGGGAATCCCAGAACATTTGATTGTGCTAATGCGAAACCTATACTTGGACCAAGAGGCAGTCGTCAGAGCAGAGCAGGGAGACACTGGATGCTTCAAAATCAAGAAAGGGGTCCGTCAGGGATGTATTCTGTCTCCATACCTTTTCAAGCTGTATGCAGAACAGATCATCCGAGACGCTGGGCTGTATGAGGAGGAATGTGGCATCAGGATTGGTGGAAGAATCATCAACAACCTGCGTTATGCAGATGACACAACCCTGCTTGCTGAAACTGGGGAGAACCTGAAGCGCTTGCTGCAGAAGGTCAAGGACTGCAGTCTTCAATATGGATTGAAGCTCAGTATCAAGAAAACAAAGATTCTCACCACTGGGCCAATTGGCAGCATCAGTATGGATGGTGAAGAGATTGAGATAGCTAACAGTTTTAGTTTGCTTGGCTCCACAGTCAACACTCTTGGTAACAGCAGCCAGGAAATCAGGAGACGAATTCCATTTGGAAAGTCAGCTGTGAGGGACCTCTCAAGAGTACTGAAGTGCAACGACATCAGGCTGGAGACTAAGGTGCGCCTGATCCAGGCTATAGTCTTTGCAATTATGTGCTATGCATTGGAGAGTTGGACAGTGAATAGGGATGACAGAAAGAGAATTGATGCCTTTGAGCTGTGGTGCTGGAGAAGAGTGTTAAATATACCATGGACTGCTAGGAGAACAAACAGGTTTGTCCTGGAGAGGGTGAAGCCAGAATGTTCCCTGGAGTCAAGGATTCTGGAGCTTTGTCTGACATACCTTGGGCATGTTGCAAGAAGGGACTGGTCCTTGGAGAGGGACATCATGTTTGGGAGAGTGGAGGGGTGGTGCAGGAGAGGAAGACCCTCGGTGAGATGGATCGATTCTGTGAGTGGAGTGGTGGGAATGAGTGTGTTTGAGACAGCGAGGTTGGCACAGGATAGAATGGCGTTTAGGGCTCTTGTACGTAGGGTCGCTATGAGTCGCAAACGACTTGATGGCACATAACAACTATCAAATCGGATCTAACTGGTATAGGAGGACACTCTCTCCTTCTCCAGCAGATTATCTGGTGGATTCAAATTGCATACCTCTGGAATTGCAGTGCAGCTTCTTGCCAATAGGTCACCAGAGCTGGTCTGTTTTTTTTAAATTATTTTGACACTTTAACTAAAGTTTATAGAGAATTTGGATTTCCATTCATTCATTGTTATACATTTTCCTCCCTAACCCCACCCCCAGTTCACTTTTCTCTTTGAAAAAAATTCTTTCACTGTTGCACAATTTCCTCCCCCTTCCAAGTCCACTTTGCTATGCAGCGGTTATTCTGGAATTTTTGACTTCTTGATGCTGAGACTTAATCCACATTGAAGGCTTTAGTCTCCGATCTTCTGTAGCAAGTGCTTCAGGTCTTCGTTGGTTTCAGCAAGGAAGATCGAGTCATCTGGATAATGCAACTTTCAGACGCATAGCAAATGACTGAAAAGACCACTGCTTGAATCAGGTGCACCTCAGTCTTTAAATGGACGTCACTGGTGCTCAGCACTTTGGAGAATGCTGACGTGTATGTGTTGTTGTGTGCTGTTGAGCTGGAACTGACTCCTAGCTGACTATCCTGCAGGTTTTCACAAAGGAGAAGACTGTGCAGCTTTCTCTCAGAGCAGCTAGCAGATTTCAATCTGTAGGAATGTCCTCTTATCTAGGGCGCTGTGGTGGTCTAGGGTTAGGGGCTGTGCTGTCAGCCCCACACGGTGGGATTCACATCCACTAGCTGCTCCATGAGAAGAAAATGGGCGATTTCCTACTTTATGATACACAGTTCTGACTTGAAGGTACATAACACACACAAACATATATATTTATTTTTCAGCTGAGTTAAAAATCCAAGAACTTAAATTCTAAGTTAAAAAGCTGAATTGCAAACATCAGTGTGAACTCCTCCAAAGCTTTACAACACATTTATCTCCCAAGTGGTGGTGGCTGCTAGGTGGAATTAAATAAGGCAATGACCCCCAGGCTTTCAGAACAGTATGCTGCTGCCTACCCCCTGCCAGGCCACCAGGAATGCTGCAGAATGGGTATGTGTGGTGGAGGTGGGCTGTGGGGAGGGGAGGCAGGATGCAGGGGGGTTGTGGGGTAGGGGAGTCAGGATGAAGTGGGGCTGTGGGGGTAGGGAGGCAGAATGCAGGGGGTGCTGTTTGGTTGGAGAGGTAGGACATGGTGGGGAAACCTGTGAGGGGAGAGGTAGCAGGATTTTGGGCCAAGAACACGTAGAGTTCCTCCTGGCCAAATGTGGACCTTCTAAACACCTCCTCACCCCAAAGAGAAGATGATTGTTTGATTGAGGCCACTGTTTACACAGATCCTGGGCTCACCCCTGGAGCAGGAGGGGCAGTGTGTGAGAAACTGCACACCCCAGGCTGCTGGGCACATAGCCTACACTGACTGTGGTGGGAAGACCTGACCGTGTGTCCCAGGGACCTGTCAGTTCTAATGAGGCCTGGGATGAAGGGATTCTTAAGAGGATGCTGGCCGAGATCTGCTAATACTAAGTAAGGGCTATGATCCCACAACGGCCATACTGAGCCAATGGGACCAGGAGTCTGCAGGCTGTCCCAGGACCTGAGAGGATAGAGTCAATGAGACCACCCCTCTCTCCAAGGTGAGAGGTTCTTGCAGAGGTGCTGATAATTTGGATAGGTGGGTGGGGCTGAACAAAGATCAGTATTAGAATGTTCCAGACTTCTGTTACTGTTATGACTCCAATCTGTGTTTGGCTCCTTGCTTTGGTGGTGGTCCCTAACTTCCTCCTCACCAGTGGTGCCCCCATCCCTTCTTCCGGCCAGCAGTGTCTGTGCCTGAGCTTCCTTGTTCCCTCCAAGTTCTCTGGGCAGTTCAGACCAGTGCCCAGAGCACCTGGACACCAATGGTCCAAGTGTGCTGGCCTCTAGCTCTCCCAGCATGCCAGCCTTGGTTCACTCCAGAAGGCCCTCCTTTGGGCTCTTAGTCAAGGGGGGAGGAGCAGCCCTGACATTCCTCCTGAGTTTCCCACACCTGTGTCCAGCTTCCAACACGATGGGCCCGCCTCGCGTACTTGAGCTGAGCAGAACTGCACTTGGGAGCCTTCCAAGCATTCTGGGGTAAAGGCCACGTGTCTGGAATTGCTTCATAGTGCTGTACTGGTGTACACCTTTGCATAAGTGTGCATACACGGGTGTAACACATGTGGGAAAATGCCAGCAGCTGCTGAAATCTGAGGACAGGGTCAGTGTGGGTGTTGATGCTAAATCGCCCAGTCTCCTATCGTGTCGCAAGTCGATGGTCCTCAACCTCTTCCAGCCCTTTACAAAGGCAGCAAGAAGTATTCTGCAATCCCTTTTACCCATCTTCCCCTTCAACTATTTCAATTGTTTTGATTGCTTTATTGAAGATTTATAAACATTTTAACTCATGGCAAAATCCCAAGAGAAAAGAAAGGGAAGCGAGGAACAGCCCTCCATCCAAGTCTCAGCATAAGGACTCTAGGAAAGACAACACCAGCAGGTGATGGCGTACAGTCTGCACCGCAGTAACATTCAAAATCTTCACCAATAAAAATAAAGGCCTTTTATTTGGTTTCTCTACCTCTCACAGGAACCTGTGGACACCATCTTGCCTGAGGGGCCTCCAGGCCGGGATGCAGGAACACTGCAGGGACTCAGGGAAGTGGACAGCCCTGAGCACCAGCAGCCCTTCAGGGAACAGAGCTTCTCAGGGCGTCACCTTCTTGTAGGTGACATGCAGATGCTGAGTCATTGGCTGGGTAGTGGTTGCCATGGATACCGTCTGTTCAAGTTTGCCTTCGGAATTCAGTCTGAACTTGCGAGTAATCTGAGCAGGGACAAAACAAAGCCACAAAGATTTCAGCTTCTATGCTTGCTGGTTGCCTGCTGCTGGCCGCGCACCAGATTGGTTACACCTGGGAGCCAGGCGGCGTCCCATCCAGGCTGCAAATGCCTGAACTGCCAAGTGGGTCCCCCTCAAGGAGCCCTTTCATGGGCCCTCAGCTGCCCCTAGGTGACCCACCATAGAGACTGTCCACACTGAGGGCCATGAGAAGACCGTTTCTGTAAATAAAACTCAATTTGCAAGCCTCCTTGCTACATCCATGTTTAACTGCCCTCCTGTGCTGGTGAAAATGTAGGAACCAACCCGGGAAGCACTAGTGCCCAGCATCCTTGACAGCAAGGTTTTTGGCCGGCAGCTGCAGGCCCAATGCCTAGAGGTCCACAATGCATGAGAAGAGGTGCCACTATGTGCCAGGAGGACTACAACCACAGTGGCTGGACAACCCCTCTGTCTCTCCACCCTTGTAGACATGCAACATGAGTCCTGCTCCTGGTCCCACGCAGCTACGACGACATAACTGACTGTCCCGTGGTGGAAAGCCAGGCTACTGAGAGCTGGCTGAGTCCCTCTTCATGCTGGGCCAGGGTGGACTGGAAGCAGTGTCTGGAAACTGAGGGGACCAGTGGAGTTGGAACAATGGGTTTTTCGGAGGCAGTAAAATCACAGGGGAGTAGATTGCCTGTCATCTTTCTACAGAACATCTGGTGGGTTTGAACCAGGTGCCTTTGGGTTGGCAGCACAACTCCTTACCATGAGATCACCAGAGCGCCCTCAAAATTAAGCAGAAAGAGGTTAAAGTGTGGGCTCAAGGTCCGTCTGGGAAAACTCTTGGAAAACAACAGGATTTCAGCTGGGACCCCACAAGGAAGGGGTGAGCAGAAATAGATGAACCTTTCAAAGGGCGCTGAGCTTCTTCAGTTCAGTCTCGGATCGCTGCACGCCCTTCCTGACCTGCACTAGTGCAAGGGAGTGCAAGTGGACACGGCCAGAAGCAGCGGCTCAGGCCTATGTCTTCTTCCTGGCACCCATGCAAGAAATCCAGGAGAGAATCACCTCAAGTAACCCAGGGAGGATGGTCGGATGGTGTTCTTCACAAGGATGCCTGGGTTCTGGACACACACTGCAACCTCAACCACATCCAGCAGGCAGCCAGGAAAGTGAACCAGGAAAAGGTCAGAGGAAAATGCCCACTGAAACAGAGAGGAAAAAGTGTGGGAAACATGGATGAGAGCATGAGAGATGGAAATGTGGAAAGTACAAAATGTGTGTACATGGAGTCTAATAAGAGAGAACAGAAAATGGTGCACAAAGAACCCCGATGAGATTAGGGTCAATTTTCTGACAAATGAAAGAAATCTAGTCCCTATTCAAACCACTTTATAGCAGAACTGTGGCTGATATGCAAAGACAGAAGCAGCCAGAGGTGAAGACAGCATTTTCAAAAGAATTGCGTTAAGATTTCCAAATGACTTCTCAAGAAAAAGAGTGGAATCCAGAAGATAATAGAATGACAGATATCTTCAAAGTTCCAAAAGAAATGTCATTCCAGGATTTTAGAGACTCTTTAGAGATGAAAGGCAAAAAATAAAGACATTTTCAGACAAAGCAAAACAGAGAATCCACTAGTAGTGGTCACTTTGGCTGTTACAGGTGGTGTAGGGCAGAGCACACATCAACAAACTATATGGCAGAAAGGGCAGAGGATGTGCAGTGCAGTCCCACAGGGCAGCCAGGACATCCAGGAAGGGTGCAAATGCAGCAGCAGAGAGGGCTAGGAGGGGGGAAATGCAGCCACGGGCTCCTGTGGTCCCACAGGGTAATGGGGATGGCTGGGAAGGATGGAAATGCAGCCACGGGCTCCTGTGGTCCCACATAGCAGCAGCAGCCGGGTTTGTGGTCCAACCTGGCAGAAGGGGTAGAGGTGCAAACACAGTAGCAGGTGTTACTCCAGGACCACTGGATGGAGTCCTCAGTGAGGTCCATACAGATGACAGTCAAAGACGTGCTGACCAAAGTCACAGAAGTTCTGATTTACCCTAGCTGTGAATGAACTGAGACTACTACTGGGTAGCAGGAATACAGGTATCCAGCCTGTGAAGAGGACAGTGACCAGGACAAGGAGCACCAGCAGGACACCAGAGCTGGTGGACTTCAAGTACTAGGTTAACATATACACAGTGCACTAGCTTCTAAACGACTGAATCTGGCTTAAAAAAAAACAACTAATAATTATTATTTTGTGTGTGTACAGTCAAATCAGATCTGACTGGTACAGGAGGAGACTCCCTTCCTTCTCCAGGAGAGCATCTGGTGGATTCGAACCGCATACCTCTGGGATTGTAGTGGAGCTTCTTGCCACTAGGCCACCAGAGCTTCCTTGGATTTCTTTTAAAATAAACAAAAAGGTTTTCCCCTTGAGCCAGAGGAGTGGGAAGGAGTTAAGGGCACTTCCCAGGGCACAGGACTCGGGCAGGGGGCTCATGAGGGATGGTGGTGTTGCTACTGGAAACAGCAGCTTATGCAGCACTGAAAGTGCCACCTGCTCATGCTGCTTCAGGCTCTGAGCCTGCTGGACACTGATGTTGCTAGAATGAAACTTGTAATGTCCTCCTGCTCTTTAAGGGAGAAGCACTGGGAGGGTTTAAGGTGAGCAGGCTGGAATCAGCACAAAGACTCTGAGGAACAGGAGAGAGGTAAGCCCTCACATGTGCGTCCTCACACCAGCACACACTGGCCAATAGAGACAGCAGCAGGTGGCAGAGGAGTTGCCCATGTGAGGTTCCCAGAGGCAGGGTGGAGGCCATGGGGCATGGGGCACGTGGTGGATGGAGGGAGCCTGGAGGCTTTGTCAGGAGATAAGCAAGGCCACCCCTACTTGCACACATAAATGCCAGAAGACTCAATTATGTGGGTGTAAAGCCACCAACTGTGCCTGCATCCAAGGGGCCACAGATGATGGCAGGGGCCCCGTTGGCAAGGTCGATGTCCAGGACAGGGTCCGTGCACACAGCAGGGTGTAGGCTGACATGCACAATCCCTGCGTGAAAGCAGTCAGCTGTGAAAGACCACACACTGAATCCATTAAGTGGCTCATAAACAAGAGGCGTGGCCGTCAGACAAGGAGGCGTTAGAATGAACAAGCAGATAACTAGACTGAGGAGAGCAAAGGCAGACTGTGTCTGGATTTCTCAAACTGAAAAAAAAAAAGAAAAAACCAAACAGAAGAAAAATGTTCAAATGTCAAGCTGCAGTAATGAAGTATGCAATAGGCAGAATCTTCAATGACATAAAACTCGTCAAATAATGGTGTAAACAATACATCACAGGAGTTAAAAAAGAAATGGTCAGTGGCCAATAATTTCAAGGGGAAGCACATGATCAAGAGCCAGAGACATGAAAGGAAGACATCCAAGCTGCCCTGGAGGCACTGGTGAAAAAGGAGGCTCTAAGAGAGGACAAGACAGCAGCAAAGATGTTTCAGCAAATGAGAATAACACTGGAAGCACTCTCTGCTCTATGCCAAGGCATGTGGACGACAGTCCACCGACCAGCCAACTAGGAGAGATCCACATTTGTGCCCATTGCAAAGAAAGGTGATCTCGCAGAAGGAAGAAAGCGTATCATTACTACCAAACCTAAGTAAAACCTTGTTGAAGAGAGCAGTAATTTAAAACAACAGCTGCAGGGGAGCTCTGGTGGCCTAGTGGCAAGATGCTGCAACTACAATTCCAGAGGTGAACGGTTCAAATCCACCAGATGCTCTGCCGGGGAAGGAGGGACAATCTCCTCCTGTACCAGTCAGATCTGATTTGACGGTACACGCACACAAAAATAATAAAATAAAATTAAACAAACAAACAAACAAACAAACAAAACAACAGCTGCAGTAGTCCAGGGAAAGAGAATATGAAGTTGATTCAGAAGAGGCTTTGGAATGGGAAAAATCACTGTGATGCCAGACAGACCTTAGCCAAAAGCAGACATTTGCCTGTGCTTTCTTAACTATGTAAAGACAATTAACATGTTGCCGCACACTTTAAAATTGACAATCGTGCTTATAAACACATTTTAACTGTTTGACTGCCATATGAAATTGAGCATCAGTCACTGATGTCGAATGATGTTCCTTTTTTTATTAATTAAAATGTGCAAGACAGCTATAGACATCATTTGCATCAACATGTTTAACTGTGTATAATTACAACTTGTGGATAACACTAAGAAGAAAGGGAATCCCAGAATACTGATGCTCTGGTGGCATGGTCAGTAGCCTGTGGGGCTGCACACCCCTGCTGGTTCAAATCCACCAGCATTCAATTCCTGTCAAGATCTTCAGTCCTGGAAATGCAATGGAAGGTCCCTATGATTGAGAACTGACTGGTAGACAGTGAACTTTTTGAGTTTACGTAACTGTGCTTACGCTGAACCTGTACACAGACCAAGAAGCAGCTGTTCCAACAGAAAGAGGTTACTGTATGGCTTAGACTCAGGAACGCAGGGGCCAGGTTCGTACCCTCTTTATCATACTCACCCAGTCTGAGTATTCTGAACAAATAACCCTAAAAGACAGACAACATGATGAACAAGAAAGGATTAGGATTAGAACCAAAACCAACAACAAGCAGGAGGCACTTCTGTTTGCTCAAAGAGAAGAGGACTTAAAGCACTTACCAGTGAAAAGACTAGTATGGATTATACTTCAACTAAAAGAAAATAAAAATCTTGACAATTAGACTAGTAAGCAACAACTGATTGAAAAACATGCACTGCACTGGGAAGATCTCCAAAAGACTCAGATTTCTAAGGGTTTCAAAAGAGGTAACTCAGAATTAAGATGCATGCCTGGTACGAAGTTTTTTCAGCTGCATCATACGCATACAAAAGCTGAACAACTAATAAGGAAAACGGAAAAACTGATGGCTTTGAATTACAGTGTTGGCTAAGAATACTGGATATACCATGGACTTTCAGAAGAATGAACAAATCCATCTTAGAAGTACCGCCAGAGAGGGAGTTCTGGTTGCCTAGTGGCAAGTAGCTGCACTGCAATTCTAAAGGCATGAAGTTTGAATTTCCTTCTGTGCCAATAGGATCTTATTAGATGGTACACAAGGAAAAAAAAAGTACCACCAGAATGTTCCTTGGAAGTAAGGATGGTGAGACTTTCTCTCATGTGCTCTGGATATGTTATCTCGCAGAAAGGACCAGACTCTGGAGAAGATCATGCTAGAGAAAGCACAGTGGATGAGAAACAGGAAGACCCTTGGGGGACTGATGCAGTGGCTACAGCTATGGACTCAAACAGCGGTTTGTGAGGATGGGCAGTGTCCTCCTCTGTTGTGCACAAGGTTCTTAGGAATAAAGGCAATTCAACAGGAGGGTCTAATGACAGCATACAGAAACAGGAACAGCTACTAGGAGATAGCTTTCTTTATGCGATGATGGAACATTATGGAACTGGACAAGGTGATGGATGTACGATACTGGGAACACACCAATGGCACTGGATGGAAGCCTTTAAAAAGGAAAGCATCACAGTGTATACATCATACTGGAATAAAGTAAAAAGGTGTGTAGTATGAACTCATTTTTGTCATAAAAATATATACATTTATATGGGTGCTTCTTTTTTGCTCAGGTTTTTTTTTCTGTTGTTGTTGTGTGCCGTCCAACTGAAGCCAACTGGCAGAGGAGATTTCCCCTCATTCTCCAGCGGAACATCTGGTGGATTCAAAGCATGTGCCTTTGGGATTGCAGTGCAACTTCTTGCCACTTGGCCATCAGAGCTCCCTTTGTTCTGCTTTTTAATGAAAATGTAGTGTATGAAACATGAGTGAAAAAGAAAGGAGAAAAGAAAAGCACAACAACGTATCACTCACCTTTCATACTTGAAACGGAAGTGTCCTTAGATGTTCCCTAGCCTCTCTCCAATGGGGAACACCTGTGGTTCCTGCAACTACTGCCAACCCCACAATGTCCCCTAAAACACATGCAGAAACTCTGACCCAGGACTATTCTTATGGAACACCTGTGCTCAAACTGAGATGGGAAGCTGAGCCGTTCCAATTAACATTTTCGACAAGCTGATTCTCAAAGTCATAAGGAAATGCAAAAGATACCAGTATAATACAAATAACTGTGGGCAGGAAAAAACACTGATGGAAAAAACACTGATGGATAGCATGGTATTCAATATCAACAATTAGAAGAATGGTGCAGTGGGGTGACAAAGTGACAGGGACAGAATGACAGGGGATACAGCAACAGGGGAATGTACATGGGGACAAAGCGACAGGAGGACAGAGAGACGGGGACAGCGACTGGGGGACAAAGTAACAGGGGAAAAGTGGGCCAGAAAGGAAATCACATCCATATAGAGACACGTTCATACACCGATCAGGTAAAAACTGGGATTTCTGTGTGTGTGGCCTACTGGCAAAAAGCTGTGCTGCAATCCTAAAGGTATGCCATTCGAGTCCACCAGCTGCTCTGTGGGGAAGGATGGGCAATCTCCTCCTGTGCAATGAACTGCCTTTGAAAACCTGCCAGGTCAGCTCCAACTTGATGGTACACAACAATAGCAAAGTGCATGTGTTTTAATGTATGGCACTAGAATGGGGTACTATATGAAAACACTAATAAAAACCAAACACACGAACTTGTACTGACCAGCACTTCCCACCATATCCAATATGACATCTAAATCTCACAACCCTCAAAGTAAAAGGGAAAACTGTGATGTTGTGTTAGGGAAAAAAATTTCACTCAGGACAAAGAAAAAAAGACCACCTGCTAAGAACAACCTTGCAAAGCTAAACTCTCTGCTCTTTAAAGGGACCAGGAGAGAATGGACAAGGCCTCTGGATACCTTGGTGCCAAGACCACAACCACCCCAAGGAGACAATGGGCAGGGTGGGGTATTACTCCACAGCACCAGGGACACAGAAGAGCAGGCAGTGCAGTGACAAGATGGGGTGTTTCCCACTGTCTAGACCTCCACCCCAGGGAAACCCCCAGACCACAGGCTCTCTCTGGGACCAGACTCAGAGCAGAAGTGTCTTCCTAGGACTCCATGGGACCCACCCTTCACCAAAGTGTCCCCTCAGGAGCTGTAGGATCCAGGCCAGTTCAGTGGTAACCAGTAGAAGCTGTATGGGCACGCACCTGCTCCACATGGGGGTCCTTGGCAAAGGAGATCCTGGCAATGGAATGGGAGGCAATGGACAGCTCCTGCCCATTCACCTCGCCCTCTTCCACTTCCACGATGCCTGCAACAAGAGACATGTCAGTGCACGTCCAAGGCCCCCGATAGGCACCTTGCACTGGAGAGCCCACCACCACAGGCACGAAGCCCAAGAGACCAGATCAGACACTCTACCTTAGGCACTCCCTATGCAGATGCCTTGGTGGGCGCCCTGCTGCAGAGATGCTGCCTCATATGGCCCCCAAAGGGCACCTCACCACAGACACTCCATCACATGTACCCCCTAATAACATACTGATGCAAATACCACACCATGGAGAACTGCCATGGGGAGCCACCCACAGCCAGCTCAACAGATATCCTAGCACAGACACACCGCTATAGACACACATCACGTGCACCCCCCACCCCAGACATCCTGATGCTGACACCACACCATACAGAACCACCACAGACATACCATCTCAGACACTTCACCAAAGACATGCCACCATGGACACTTTGCTACAGATACCCTATCACAGACACACTACAATGGACATCCCACCACGGAAACCTCATCACAGATATTCCATCACATGTACCACATCACCAACACCCTATCACGGACACTTCACCACAGGTAACCCACTGGAGACACCCTGCCCCAGATGTACCCCTCCGACGAGTGCACCACAAAAGACCCCCAGGCAAAGAGACAACACAGGCACCCCACCACAGGCACCTGAGCATGGACTTCCTGCACTACCCTGACACACTGTCCCAGATGGTCCCCCCAACAGGTACCCTGACAGGTACTCCACCACAGACACCCATCCAGATACCCTGGCCCAGACATCCACTCAGACACACCAACAAAGACACCTTGTCCCTGATACCTTCCCATGGGCATCTCAACACAGATATCCCATCACGAACACCCTGACATGGGCATCTCAGCAGACATGTTTCCCAGATGCCCTGTCAAGGTCAAAATGGACAGCCTAAGGGGGCCCATGCAGTACCAAACACTAGGGTGCTCTCCCAGAGGCCTCCAAAGTTGGCCTGCTGAGAGAAGCTTGGAGAGAGGCTTTGGGGGGGAATGTGGGCAACAGATATAACGCTCTCCGATCTGTCTGACAACTCTACCTGCCCAGCATGACTTCCTGCTGCTCACCTAGCTGCCTGCATCCAGGAAAGGTATCTGAGCAGGAAGGGTTTGAGGGGCAGGGGCAGGATGACTCTCCTGGCTGAATAGGCCAGGCTAGGGATAATCCCATCTGAGCAGAAAATGTCTGAGCGGGGAGGAGCAGGCAGAGGTCTGAGTGGGACGGAGAGGCAGGCTGGGGTTTGAGAGCAGCGTTGAGCAGACAGGAGTCTGAGGGGCAAGGAGTGATGGGCAGGGAGGGGTCTGGGGAGCAGGGACGGGTGGGCAAGGGTTTAAGGGGTAGGGAGGGGCAGGCATGGAGGGTTGGGCAGGGGTCTGAGGGGCAAGGAGGAGTGGGCATGGGTCTAAAGGGCAGGGAGGGGTGGGCAGCGGTCTGATGGCAGCACTTCTGGGGCCAGTCACTAACCAGCAGGCTTCAGTTAGGTGTTGTCTGGTCCAGCAGGACTCACAGTGACTCCATGGATCTGAACCCTGTCCTACCCTGTGCACCCTCACCATCTCTGACATCTTCATTCTGAAGGACTTCTAAACTGGGCTCTACCTCCAATACTGTCATCTACCTACATTCCTCTGTTGTCCTTGTGAAGGTCTGTTCTTTCAGAAGGGAATGGCCAATTCAGCTTCCTAGTGTGTCTCAATCTAGAAGTTCTGCTAAAACCTGTCTACTACCAGTGACCCTAATGACATCTGAAATACTACTGGCATAGCTTCCAGTCATACTAAGTCACAAGTAAGCCCAGCACAGCACATTGACAGACAAGTGCTGGACTAAGAGAGCTGTACTAGGAAGAGAAAACTGTGAAGGAGTCAGTATACAACAGCAGGCCTAGGTGGTCAACATTCCAGAACAATCTCACCAGGGCAAACCAGGCATCAAGGCAAAGAACTTTTCACAGTGAAAAGTGAGCAGCCCCTCTGGGACTCCCAGTCCCAAGAAGAAGGTTGTGTCACAGGGCACAGAGAGATACAAGCCTGGACCCCGAGTCCCACAGGAGGAGCCATGCTCAGTACCCCAACAGGACTGACAGGCCATTGGAGAGAAGGGTCCGTTTTTCCCAGGGAGTCTTCTTGTGGCCCCCGCAACCCCAATCCTGAACCCCACAAAGGGCACTGGAACCCAAGGTGGCTGACCGTACCTGTATTCTGGGCACTGATGAAGGCCACCTTGTTGGTATCAGGCTGGAGCCGGATGAAGCCGCACTCCCGGTGCATTGGCTTCCGTGTGTCGGGGTGGAAGGCGTTGAACCTGGAAAGGAGCAGAACAGTGGGGATCCTGTCTCAGAGAGAGGACCATGCCTCGGAGTGGACCTTGCCTCCAGCACTCTGGTCCACAACAACAAAGGCTCAGCTTCAAAGAAAGGGGGTGCAAATCACCTTGCTCTTCAGTTGCCAGTGTTGCCGTGCACTTTACTAGAGGATGTGGGCTTGTGCAGAGGTCACACAGCGCCACGTTAATCCAGATGGTCACAAGGAAAGGGACTATAAGGGTGTGGCTGCTATAGGATCCTTACAACCCACACTAACTGCAGTGGACAGTGCTCTGGAGCTTAGCAGGGAGTCCTGCTGCCGTGCCCCTGTGGGGGTTTGAATCCACCAGTGCCTCCTTAGGAGGTGGGGAATCGCCTCCTGTTAGTCAGGATGCACAGCCTCAGAAACACAATGCAGGGCCAACTCTGAGTCAGAACCAACCTACCGATGGCAAGTCTGAAAGATCAAAACCCAACTGAACGCCACCAGCGTCATAATACCCCAGGAATCTTACCAGGACATTAACCTCTCATGGTGGTGGCTACACCCTCCTTTTCCCCAACTGCAGTCCCTGAAAAGGACATTTTATAGCACACTCCCACACATGTACCCCCCCCACCTGACATGTGCCATTTTGCTCACTACAATGTATCATGTCTCTCTTCTGATGCAATCACAATCAAAACAATGTTGATGTGCTACCAAATTTGTGTGACAACCTATTTAACAGAATTTGTTGTGTGACTGTCTTTATAATTTTTTGCTACTAAAAATTCTATCTTTTGGTTTTTGTGCAAGGTGTTACTTTCCTCTAACTTATCCAGCTAAGAGCACTACAGAACAAGTAAGACGGAAACGAGATCTAACCCTTTTACAAATGTGCATTACTCCTACAACAGGAAAACAAAAGTATTTCCAGCCATGCCCCTGGCAGGTCCTCCTGTTGGAACTCACTCTATTCCTCTTTCCTACAATGGGCTGTTGGCATGGGGTAGGATGGCCTGGGGCAAGAGGCCAGGGAGGAGCTCTGTCATATGGGGTGAGAATTTGAGAACACAAAACTGACCACTTCCTTGAGTCTGTACTGGCTCAGGTGTGTGGCTAGCAGACAGTCTGTCCCTATATTCAGGACTTAAAGGATAAAATCCATGCAGGTCTGGGCATACAGCTGGGATCTAATTAGCCCCCTTGCTCTGGCACCCACAGTACTATGGCAGGCCAGACATATTACACATCAGCCTGGACTACCTCGGAGCCTCCTGTGTTGGGCCTGGGGCAGACTTACGAGAAGTTGAGCATAGGCTGGCCCACGTGGAAGATGTGTACCTCCTCCAGGTACTGGAAGGGCTGCAGCGTCGGGAAGGTGCCAGCTCCAGGTGGGTCAGACAGCCAGGTGCCCAGCATCCAGGACAGTGGCTCTACCACTGGGTTCATCATGGGAGGTTCTGGGGACAAAGAATGAGACCATCCATGGTAGCTGATGTCCACTGAGCCCCAGGTGGGGCAGCATCTTGGATCACAACCACCTGGGTATTCAAGAGGAGACCAAAAACCAGCGAGTGGACTCTGGAGAGAGCTGAAGTCCCTGTAACAGGAGATACTTGCACTGTGAGCTGGGAGCACTAACCCACAACCTAACAAAACTGAGATCCACCAGCACTACACCCAGCATTTCTAGACAGCTCCCTAAGCTTTCATGGGCCAGTGGTGCTGGTAAACCTTCTTCCTTCCCGATCATAACCTCTGACGAAAAGCACGTCTTACGGTACAACCTGTTGGATATGCACACCCATGCACATGTGCACACACACTCTGTCCAGTTCCTGGAGGAACCAGTGGACAGAAGGCAGCTCCACCTCAGCAACATACAGGGTCATGGATTGCCTGCACCCATCCCATCCATGAATAAGGCCAAGCTGGGGCGAGAATTTGCAGAACAAAGACCAGAGCCATTAGAGCCGTCTCTGGAGATCAGAGGCTGGCCAGATTGAGATGGGCTGAGGGGCTCATGGAAGAAGGAGAGAAGGCACATGGACCTCAGAGGGACAGGGAGTGGAGCACTGGGATAGCACACTGGGTGGTGTGGGGTTACGAGGCAGAAGTGGTGGTGAGGTATACAGGTGACCGTGATCATAGGAGCAGAGGATGCAAACAAGGGACTTAAGGGGTGATGCACATGGGGCGGCTTAAGGGGATAGTACATGGGCTATAACAGGGGTGGAGGGGTGAATGAGGGGCATATGGGGGATGATATATGGGTAAGGTGGTGCATGGGGGGGCAGCATACAGGATGAGGGGGCATCACAGGTGAGAAGTGAGTGGGCGAGGATGGGGGATGATGCACGGCAGGGCGGTTCATGGACAGGGAAACATGCAGGATGGGGGATATCACAGGGGAGAAGAGGTGGGTCAGGGACGCATGGGGGAGGTCGGTGCATAGTGAGTCAGCGGTGCATGGCAAGGGAAGTAGATGAGAAACTGACAACCCAGCACCCAGGCATGGGCATGTGATCTGGATCAGGGAAGGGCCTGAGCACAGGTTAGGAAGGGTGCATAATTTCTTATACCAGGTGATAGGATGATAGAGTGCAGCAGGTGAGTGGACAGGCTGAGAATGCCCCCATCCCCTGGGTCAGGAGGATGGTCATACTGTGCCAGAGGCACCTCTCCTGGGATGTGGACACTCACGCACAGAGGCCCACCAGGATGGCTGGTCACCCTGCCTCCCTCCAGAGCCCTGCCCTGGCCTGCTGTCCTGCATTGCAAAATGCTGGCCGCTAGGGGCGCTCGGGTGACTGTTCTCCATGGGCTACGGTTGCCCCCTGGGCGATGCTCATGTCACTGCAGGCTGACTCTTGCAGCCAGGCATCTGAGTCCACCAGCCGGGTGACCCATGCAGAGGAGCTCTCTCTGGCCAGGAAGCAGGGGGTGGCCTTAGCCAGGTGAGTGTGGCCAGCCAGGGGCTATTAAGGGTATCAGGCCCCTTTGGGTGAAGACCACAGTTAAAAATGAGGACAGCTGCATGATGCTATGACACCCCAACTAGCTCTTAACGGTCCGCTCAGAACAAGTGGACTGTGTGCAGTGTGAGTCACACCTCAGCAAAACTCACACCTGAGGTCTGCGAGGAAATCCACGGTGGAGGAGGCAAAGGTGTAAGGGACCTCCCTGAAGAACACAACCACAGAAATGAAAGAGTCAAGAAATCCTCCAAAAAGAGAAGATGCAAAGTCACCGCAGCAAAGACTGTCCCTCAGGAAGAATTGTCCCAAGATGGAACAGATACCCAACCAGAAAGACCCCAAGTTTACAGATATCGGCACCATGGGACACGTGGCTGTAGACCATAGTCACTCAGCACCCTGTGACATATGCAGGGGCTTTTGAGAGGAAACAGGCACCAAAGTTTCTAGGGTTCTGGGTTCAGGAGGACAGTCTTCCATGGAGCCTTGAAAGTAAAGCTATGACTTGAGGAGGATGGGTGTGGAGGGGCCCAGTATGGGGGGGGCCAGGTGGCATGAGGTGTCCTCTTCTACTGGTAGTCCAGGAGGAGCTGGGCACCCCTAGCATGAGGGCAGATGATGTGCAGGGTTATGGGGGCTGAGGGCCACCACCATGGTCAGGATCTGGTGACAATACCAGATGAAAGGTGGGCTCTGATGGGCACATTGCATCAGACAGGGTGTCCAGGGGAGTGGGCCAAATGCCCACATGGTGATGGCCAGTGAGAGGGCCTCAGGCCATCATGCCAGTTCTAAACTCATCCCAGCAGCTGACTGATAGACACAACATGCCTAGGGGATGAAGGTCTGCCAGCCCCTGGTGCCTTGATGGAGCCCCATACTTGCTAATGATCAAGTGTGACCAATGACCAGTCATAACAATGCCTCGGATGGGGGCCTGCCAGTTATACAAGGGGGGACAGGGCAGGTCAACATCCTGATTGCACACACTAATGCGAAGGGCAGTAGGTATGGATTAACCATGAAAAGATGAGAAACTTCTAAAGTTACTTTCTATAGAAACCAGGGGGAGGTGATCTGAGGCCCAAGCGTTGGGCCAGCAGTGGAGCAGCCCCCGGATGGGCGCTGATGGGGTGGTGTTCCGTCTCTGGGACTCAAGCTGGACAAGGAAACGGGTAACAAAAGGTGGCCAGGACCTCCCTGTTTCCTCCTGCGGGTCATCCTGCCACATTCCCACTTCCTGTCTAAACACCCTGCTGCCCAGCAAACAGGTCAAAGACGATGTCTCCTGCTCATGTTCATCAGAGGGGTAAATGAGGGGACCCCAGAGCCTATCTCCACCAAGAGTGGAACCTGAGGGGTGGACTCACACACTGCCTGTTTGACTCCAAGAGAAAAATGAAAAGAAGGAGAATTTAAAAACCAGACCTACCACTCAACCTCTTCGAATAAAGCACACTTCTCTAGGCATACCTTCATGATTTCAATTTTCTTTATTAAAATCTTAACAAAATCCAAAACATAAAACCAAAAATTTAAGCTTTCCATAAAATTGAATTCTCGCTCTCTTGGCCCCAACAGTGAAAGGAGGCTTACCCATCCCCAAGTTTCCTAACTCCCGGACACACAGCCAAGGTTCTTCAAGGTTGTTTTCTGCTGCCGGAAACAGCAGAAAACACCTGGAGCTCAGCAGGAAGTGAGAACGAGCCAGAAGGGCATCCTGGGAGTTGTAGTTTCACTCTAGACCATTCCAGAAAAGACTGCATAGCACAGCACTACCGCAACAGGGTGGCCCGGAACACAATGGACACTTGGAACCTCAAGGGAAGCCCCACGCTGGGGACCAGGACATCTGAGCAAAGCCAAGACACAGTGGTGAGGGACTGGCCCCCTCATGTCATGTATACACAGCTGATGAGAGTGGCGGGCAGAAGGCACCACAGGCCCTGGACGTCCCCATGACTCTGCCACAGGGCCTGTACTCAGTCAAGAGGGGTGTCAGCAAAGCCCTTCCTTCATCAAGCACAGAGCAGAAAGCAGTGCACGCACATTGTGTGCGCACATGTATATGCACAGACAGACAGACATATACACGCAACCTCTCATGAAAAAGAGGAGACGCCAGGCATCTAACAGCTTGTTTGTTTCTGCTGACACACTGCCATAGGGGTGGAAGCCTATGGGTCTGTGTGTTTCCGTTCAAGTCACAGCTCACATGACAGGTGACAGGTACATGTAGCTCCAACGCAGCCCAGGAGACCCGCCCCCTTCATGCACACACGTCCACCTGGGGTCTGTGTGATGGAGCCTCCACTCCCTCCATGCATGTATGTACACTCGGGGTCTGCGTGATGGAGGTCCCACTCCCAACACACAAACGCGTGCACGCGCGCGCGCGCGCGCGCACACACACACACACACACACACAAAGTCCACTCAGAGATCTGTTATGGAGGCCCAGGTTCCACAGACCCTGACTGCTCTTGGAGGTCCCACAACGAATGGTTTCATCTAAGAAGGAAGTTGAGCAGCTCCTGACAACCTTCACAAACATGACCACACCACAGCAGGAGGGCCATGGTCTCCAAAAGAACATGCAAGCCAGAGCATTCGGGGAGGGAAAGGAAAACACATACCTGCCCCACAAGTATCCTCACATGCCACTGGCTGGGAAGAGGACAGGGAGGAAAGGCCCTCGGACGTCATAAGCATCCACAGAAGCAGGAGAAAGGATTCCTTCTACTGGGGACAAGTCTTACTCAAAATCCGCTCCTGGCTTTAAACAAATTCAGTCCAGTACCAACAGAACAGGCGTTAACAAGAATAAGCTTAATAAGAAGTGTTCAAACCAGTGCCTTTGGAGTATACACACACTCTCGACTTGAATTGGAATAAACTCAGTGGCGACTACAAACACCCCCTACCCTGCACGGTGGCTGCGAGACCCAGGATGGGGACGGCACAGCCCTGTGCACCTGTCACTGCTGCAGGACAATAGTGAGATGTAAAAGGGCACCAAACGCGACATCATGAATGAACCATATGCAGATGTCTAGAGACTCAGCATAAAACCTGTTACAACTGTGAAATTAGTCATCTGTGCTTGGTTGCCCAGAGCAAACAAAGGCAAATGTGAGTAAAGACATGGAAACAGTGAGTCCAAAGGGCCAGTGAGAGGGGTGGACCTCAGCTCCTGGGACCCTGAGGCCACAAGAACCAGCTGCTGCTGAGCTATCACTGCTGACCACTCTGAAAGGGACAAAATGGCTTGGTCCTGGCCAGAACTTGAGTAAAGTAGGGAGAACATGAAAAAATAATAAAAAAATCAGGCTTATTAACTGGACAAGCTAGTGGGACTTCAGAGATAATGGCCCTAACTTACCTTCAGGCCTAGACTGAACTCGCCAGTTACAGGTGTCCAAGGTGAGAATGACACTGGACAGTGTACACACCCCTGAACCACCAGCCACTTCCGATTAGGATGTCTATCTGTGCCTTACCAACTCAAAGATGTTTAATATGTGGGGATCACATGAATCACCAATATCACTGAGAAGAATGAGAACCCCAAAACACATAATCATGCTTATGTGAAAGATATATATATATATATACGCACACACATATATATATATATTAAGAAGCTTTGACTGAACACAAAAACGAAATACTGCATGGTTTAAAATGAAGAAAGGTGTGTGTATATATATATGTCAGGGCTGTATCTTTCTCCATCCCTACTAAGTCTGTATGCTGAGAAAATAATTTAAGAAGCTGGACTATAAGAAGAAGAATGTGGTATCAGGATCTGAGGAAGACTCATCAACACCACGCATTATACAGATTATACAACCTTGCTTGCTGTAGAAAATCAAAGAACACAGCTTTCAATATGGATTAAATTACATTTAGGAAATAAAAATCCTCTCTACTGGACGAAAAAGCAACATCATGACAGATGGAGAAAAGACTGAAGTTGTCAACTACTCTTTGTATCAGCAATGAAGAAATCAAAAGACATGTTGCACTAGGAATATCTACTGTCAGGGACCTCTCCACAGTGCTAACGAGCAAGGATGCTGGTTCTGACTAAGGTGTGCCTGATCCAAATCACAGTCTTTTCAGTTATCTGCTATGCATCTGAAAGTTGGAAAATGAATGAGGATAAGAAAAGAAAAATTGTTGCTTTTGAGTTGTGGTGTTGGAGAAGAGTACTGAATCTCTCATGGACTGACAAAGGAGAGAAGAGTCTTTGGAAAAAGGACATCATGCTTGGAAATGTAGAGCGTCAGAGAAATAGAAGAAAACCCCAAACCTCAACAAGATAGTAGAAACTGTGGGGCAGTGCAGGATAGGGCAAGGTTCATTAGATCTGTCCTTCACAGGGTCGCTATGAGTCACAGGTGATTTGATGGCAGTAAACGCAAGGAGGGTACAGGATGCATGCTGTTGTTACACTGGAAGTACTATTAACTGGTATAAAACCAAAATGTGGATAAATGGTTGAGCGAAAAACCGACTGGTTCTGTAAAGCTTACCCAATTCACTGTTGTCGACCAAAGGAAAGGACCGAGACGGGGGACACACAGGAATGGGGTCAGGCCAGAAAGCGTGAATGCAAGGGGCTTAACGCTACACCTTTCTGGGTTTTAATTGAGAATCATGAGGAACATTAAACAAAGGAAAATCACAAGGGAGTAGTAAATAAAAACAAAGGATCATGGGGAAGTCTTTTGTAAATAAGGCAAAATTCTTCTCTATTGTTTACTTTATGCTTATCTTAGGAGGGAGGGATTTAGTAAATAAAATGAAGAATTATGTAAACTCTTAAGGATTGCCTTAATGCCTACTCCTGTAAACATTTAAGGACTGCTTTAATGCTTCAGAGTGAATTCTAAATTGCAGCAGCCTCCTTCTATCCTGACATAGTATTTGGTTTATTGCTAATGTTAAATTTAATATTCAGCTTTGTATACAATTCACAATACAAAGTTCTTTTAAAAACTACCACTGGCCCTCCGGTCCACGCCACTGCGCCGGCCCCACCCGCACAAAGAAAAAAAACCCAAAAAACAAAAAACTACCACTGGAGCTCTTTGTGATTTCACAGTGGCCAAGATACTGTGGAAAAGCCTCCAAGGAAGGGAGAGTTTAAAAAAAAAAAAGCAGCAGGTTCTGAAGTTCACCCTTGACTGTACCCACCTGGCAGATGGACTCTTGGGTGTTGTCAATTATGAGCAATTTCTTCAGGAAAGGATCAAAGCTAACGGGAAAAATGTAATCTTGGTAGAGGGGTTGTAAACATCGAAAGCAGCTAGAACAAGGTAACTAACCTCCAAGGTGTGGTTTTCAAAAGGCATTTGAAATATCTCACCAAGTAATGTTTGAAGAATAATTGACATGATTGGTTGTGTGCTAACAGAAGAAAATTATGAATTATATTACTTCTGAATATAAGGATTATAAATCATTTACCTAGAATATTTTGCATAGGCTCTTGAATAAAACATGGAAGCAAATAAACAAAAAGAATAGAAAAGCCACTCTTTCACCAAGGACCCACCAACATGAGCCACGTTCGCACCAAAACCGTGAAGAAGGTGGCCCGGGTCATCATTGAGAAATACTACACGTGCCTGGGTAATGACTTCCACACGGACAAGTGCGTGTGCGAGGAAATCGCCATTATTCCCAGCAAGAAATTCTGCAACAAGATAGCAGGCTGTGTCACACAGTGGATGAAGCGGATTCAGAGCGGGCCTGTGAGAGGCATCTCCATTAAGCTGCACGAGGAGGAGAGAGAAAGGAGAGATAATTATGTACCAGAGGTTTCAGCCCTGGATCAGGAGATCACTGAAGTAGATCCTGATACTAAGGAAATGCTGAAACTCTTGGACTTTGGCAGTCTGTCCAACCTGCAGGTCACTCAGCCCATAGCTGGGATGAATTTCAAAACACCACGTGGAACCGTTTGAGTCTGTCTGCTGTGCTGTAATATTTTCAATAAACTTGGGCACACCAAAAAAAAAAAAAAAAAGAAAAGCCAAACTATGAGCACTGATGAGTGAATTAGAAAAAAAATAGCTAGGTATTAAAACTGGTAATTGCTAATACATATCCACCAGCAATCTCTTCCTGTGTGATTGAAGCCTTCAAATAACTGCTGGAAAGTCAGCTGAGTTGGTTCCAATCAGACTGCAATGAGTTTGAGGTTTTCTGACACATTAGCAATAAACCAAACTAAGGACAGTCAAAGAGGGGAAGACCCTCAACAAGGTAAAATGACACAGTGCCTGCTGCAGTGGGCTTAAGTGTGTCAGGGATGAAGAGGGTGGCACAGAACAGGGTTCAGAGCTGGTGTTCATAGGGTTGCTATGGGTCATACTTGACGGTGTCTAAAAAACAACTCTTCTGACAAGAGAGCAATGGCAGTGGGTCCCTAGCGAGATGATAGCCTGGTAACTTCAAGGCTTTTTCTTCTTGGTCTGAATTTAGCTGCAGCTCCGCAGGCCAAAAGTGGGCAGTCTCCTCTTGTGATTTCCAGCCTCATACATCCAATGGGAGATGGCTATGGGGGAGGCGGGGACAGACTTGATGGCACTGAGTCTGTGTTTTCTGTGACCTCGGGTAGAAAATCAAACCCACAGCTT